AGGTCCCATTTACTTTTCCATTCAGTTATTCTATGCTTTTAAAATGAGGGATTTCATTTTTTTCTATTCACTTTTTTTTTTACCCCCAAAGGATTTTGTTATTTTTCAACACAAGTCTTAAGCAGAATGGTTTAACTTGGTGTTAAACAAGAGTCACAAGTCAACTTATTACCACACTGGCAGTGGGGTTTGTGTAGTGGGTGTGGGGGGCCAATGCCCTCCTAGTTCCACCGTGTAAATGTCCACTTCTTTCCTTGGGGCCACTCTCTAAAGTTTAGGGCATAACTTACCTGGGTTTGGTGCTTGTTTTGTTCACTGGGGCAGTCACCTGGGCCCATACGACTGTGGTCACCAGAGCCAGTGTTGTGGCTGGACCAGCCCTGGTGGTTCTTACTATGATTTTAAGCCACACTTAAGCCACACTATAAGGGAACGTTGAAAACACAAGTTTGTTACAGTGGTTCTCTTCCTACTTTCCCCCAGTTGTGCTTTTCATGGTTTCTGCTACCTGTGGTCAACCATGGTCTGAAAATACTAAATAACAAATTGCAGAAATAAACAATTCATAAGTTTTGAAATGTTCTGAATTATATGATGACTCTCATACTTACGGTCTGTCCTGCCAAGAGGTGAACCGTGCCTCTGTCCAGTGTCTCCACACTGTGTACACCAGTGATGGCGAACCTTTTGAGCTCGGCGTGTCAGCATTTTGAAAAACCCTAACTTAACTCTGGTGCCGTGTCACATATAGAAATTTTTTGATATTTGCAACCACAGTAAAACCAAGATTTATATTTTTGATATTTATCTTATATATTTAAATGCTATTTAACAAAGAAAAATCAACCAAAAAAATGAGTTCGCGTGTCAGAGGTGTCATAGGTTCACCATCACTGGTCTACACTATCCACTTGTTAGTCACTTAGTAATCGTCTAGGACCTAGACTCTAGGTCATCAGATCAACTGTCCTGGTGTCACGGTGCTTGTGTTGAAGTCACCCTTATAGTAGCCTAAGGCCTACGTCATTCACCGCTCTTCAGTCCATCAGGGAGGCATTGTGTGTCATCTCCCGTCAGCGCAGGCAGGAGGGTGAGTATGGTACCAGGAGATATTTTGAGAGAGGGAGAGACCACATTCACATAACCTTCAGTACAGTATATATGTTATAATTCTTCTATTATAATATTCATTATTATTGTTATCTCTAATTTACACATCAAAATTTATCCTTGATGTGTATAGGGGAAAAAAATCATACTATATATAAGGTTTGGTACTATCTGCGGTTTAAAGCATCCATTGGGGGGCTTGAGGCATAGCTCCCAGGGAGAAGGGGGACAATTGTACTTACAAGTCCTGGAGGACACACAACACGCCAAGGGCCACTCAGCAGGTAGAGAGACAGAGAGGACCTAGTGTCCAGCCTCTATTGGGGTGGAGGTGGTGGTGCCTAGGGTTTTGCAGATTCTCTGTTGGTGAACTTCAAACATAGGAGCAGGAATTAAAGTTCAGGAAGGGAAAAGCAGGGTCACTCAAGTGATCAGTTATCTAGGCCACCCAGAGCTTACTAAAAGGTAACTTCATGCCTTAGTCACTTCGGCCCGAGGACTGAAGAATCTTGGGCTCACTTCTGGTCAAGGGCATGTACCTTGGTTGCAGTTCCCTGTCCCCAGTAGAGGTGTGTGCGGGAGGCAATCAATCGGTGTGTCTCTCACATCGATGTTTCTCTCTGTCTTTCCTTCCCCCTTCCACTCTCTCTAAAAATCAATGGAAAATATCTTCAGGTGAGGATTAACAACAAAAAAAAGGGAACTTCATTAGAGGGGCAACCTGGCTGTTTATCTAGTTGGCAACATGGTTGCCTTTGAAATGGATGCCTTGTAAATCAATAGCTTAATGTCAGGCACTTACAATCAAAATAATTTATTGTGCCTTGGCCAGTGTGGCTCAGTTGGTTGGGGCATTGTCTCTAGTACACCGGAAGGTTGGGGGTTCAATTCCCGGTCAAGGCACATACCTACGTTTCAGCTTAGATTCTCAGTCGGGACACATATGGGAGACAACCAACTGATGTTTCTCTCTCACATCAATGTTTCTCTCTCTCTCTCTCTCTCTCTCTCTCTCTCTCTCTCTCTCTCTCCCCTTCTTTCTAAAAAATCAGGAACAATCTCCTCGGATGAGGATTAAAAAAAAGTTTATTGTTAGGCACTTACACTAGCCACAGTACTGCTGGTGAATTTTTGGCTGCATTCATTCTAGAACTTTCTTTAAAAAAAATTAGTTCAACTTTAGAGGAGAAAGGATATGCACTATTTCTTCAGTCCACCCCCTCTCAATTCAAGCCTGTCCAAGCACTCAGGTTTGAAGACATGAACGTGTGCACCAGATGAAAGCAAGCAAGGAGGTGTGGCCTCCAGGAGAGGGGTCTCAAATAGCAATGATTTTTGTACGAACCCGGCATGGAGGATTTAAGGAAAAAGGCCATGGGGAGAGGGTGAGTGAGTAGATCAATGGCGGGGGGAAAGTGCCTGTGACGTATTGTCTACAGCCCGGGAATCAGGAAGCGGGGTGTGTGTCGGAGAGAGTCAGGATCATCCCTCTTGTTTGTCCAAATGTGCCACCGAGACAGGAATCGGGAGGGCCTGTGGGAGGCGCTCTCGTACCCCCTGCAGTGCTGAGAGCCCTGCAGGAAACACTCTATGGTTACAGCAGAGCTCTATGGTCCTTTCAGCCCCGCCCTTAACTTCCGCTTCCCCTTCGGTAAACCGGGCTTCCTTCCTGCTTCTTCCCTGCTCTGTGGGTGCACATGGCTCACTGTAACTGTGTGGGCGGTGTCGCAACCTTTTCTTCTTCCCCGAATAAGTCCTTTTTGGTGATGAAATACCTGGTCAGCTTTGGTTATGACCCACGGGCTGTTGGGAAGATTCCCGTGGGGCCCTTCAGTGGGACAGAGAAGGGCTGGCGGGCAGGTTTGAAGACAGGAAGGTGTGCACCAGATGAAAGCAAGCGAGGAGGAGTGGCCTCCAGCAGAGGGGGTCTCAAATGGCCACGATTTTTGTACAAACCGTCGTGGAGGATTTAAGGAAAAAGGCCCCGGGGAGAGGGTGGGTGAGCCGATAAATGCCGGGGAAGGTGCCTGTGGTGTACTGTCTAAAGCCCGGGAGTCAGGAAGGGGCGTGTGTAGGAGAGAGTCAGGGTCAGCTCTCTGGCTTCTCCAAATGTGCCACCCAGACAGGAATCGGGATGGCCTGTGGGAGGCGCTGTCTTGCGCCCCCTGCAGTGCTGAGAGCCCTACAGCATACACTCTATGGTTACAGCAGAGCTCTATGGTCCTTTCAGCCCCGCCCCTTAACTTCCGCTTCCCCTCTAAAAAGGGCTTCCTTCCGGTTTCTCCCCCTTGCTCAATGTGTGCACGTGGCTCGCCATAACAAGGCAACGCTTTCTTTTTGCGTGAATACGTCCTTTTTGCCAGAGGCACCAACACCAGAGAGATGTGACTGGGCAACCCCCCGAGTCAGTGGGAGAGGGCTGCTCCTGACCTCCATCCTTGTCTCCTCCTGTAAATGAATTTGTACCAAAGACCTTGGCTGCGCTGTGAAAAGTCAATTTATTAAAGCAATGAAAGCATGCACCTTCATTGAAAAAGCAAAGCATGCAAACCTGTCGTAATTCATCCGGCTCGGAGCACAGATGGGCTTTTCTGGCCAATTTAGAAAAGTGAGCTGGTCTGAGGCTTTGTATACCTTCCTATCTATAGGTTTCAAAATTCCTTTGCTGAATATCTTGGTACAGATTCATTCTCAAGGTCCCTTTTAACGTTGGAGTGGCCTTCCCAGAATTCATGAGAAGCACCTGGCAGCTTTATCTTGCCAGGCCTTGAGACTGCTGGTGAAACACAGTAATCTCTCTTTTGTCAAACTGCTGTTTGAAATTCTCTGCTATTTTAGATGGTCCCTTGTTCTGTGAGTCAACTCTGCTATTCTTAGACATTCCCTTGTTCTGTGAATTAACTCTGCTCATTAGCTTCTGTAAACATATGCTTTTTAGCTTACTTGAATAATAGGGAAGATCAACTTAGCTGTCTGACCTTGTAGGCTAGGGACTGATACTCCCATACTCTCATGCCAGGTGTGTTAGTTATCTGAATAGAACTGTGTCGTACTCAAGGTTACAGGCTTCCTGCAAGATAGCTACTAAGCATACATGGGGCTCTTTGAAAACTTGCAAAGGTCCAGAAACTCTATATTTGGGAGACAAAGGGGCTAGGGGGGATATAAAGGGAGAACTTCCTCCATGTTGCTTTGCTCAGACTTCGGAAGCAGTCTGGGCCTGCTAGCGTAATAAAAGACTCCAAATTAATTGGCTCACTAAGGTGTCTTCTGTTAAGCTCGCTGATTTACAATATAACACTGTCTTCTCTGCTTAGGGAGCAAAACTGTCCTTTTCTTCCTTTCACCCCTTCCCCTCCCTTCCTGCATGCTCTCTTTAGGAAGGTTTTTAACCAATTTCTCTCAAGTGTCTTTGGCTGGAGAAGATATGGCTTGTTAGTTACAAGCTGGCTGCAAATTGCCCACACTGTCTAGCCTCCTTTAACTTTCCCATCTCAGTTTCCCTATTCATCCTGCCCTGGAACCCTGTACCATGTGTGGTGATGCAATACCTGGTCAGCTTTGGGTATAGTCCCCAAACTGTTGGCAAGATCCCCGTGGGGCCCTTAAATGAGACAAGAGAGGGACTGGTGGTCAGGAGGTGCTGGGAGAATGAACAGGTAAAAGTGAGGCCAGATGACCCCAGAGAAGTGGTAAGAAACTATTTCATGAACCAAATTCCAAGTCAGGAGGGTGGCCTATCCTTGGGGAGGCTTTGAAGCATTCTGGGAAGGAAAATGACACCAACAAGCTGTTACCCTGTCCACTGTGCCTGCTCACCCCTGGCTTCAGGAGCACTCGCCAGCAGGACCTTCCTGTTCGAAAAGAGACCAGCCAGTGCTGGGCGCATGTTTGTGACGGAACCAATGTTGGTTGATGTCCATGTGCTGATTTATTTAATCCAACAACCAGCTTTCAGCACAATGCATGCCCTCTGCACAGAATGGGACACTGAGCAATAGAGACATGAAGTCAATCACCACGTGATGACACTGCCTTGACGGCGGTCGCCAACCTTTCGGACCTCATGGACCACCAGTTGGCGACTGCTGCCTTGGGATGTGCTGAAGCCTGCGTTTGAGACCACATCTCTGTAATCCCGTCACCTGTCTTCTTTCTGCGCTGCTCATACAATTGTTAACGTTAATTGTGCCACAAGGCCGCCTCATGCTTCTGCGATGAGTCCCTGATTTCTTCCCCCCTGAGGGGCTGGGATGCCTCTGGCCAGGACCGAGCTCTGAGCGAGTCCTCATGTGCTTGTCTCCTAGATCTCCGAGTACTCGTTGATGCTGCTGGTGGCCTCCGGGTCCTCAGGTTCCTGTGGCTTCATCCCATGGAAGCTGAGATTGCCGTAGTAGACCTCCCAGTGTTCCTCTGACAGAGGGGGATCCTCTGTGGACAACCCTTGGTTTGGGGGCTTGTCTAGCCCAAGTTTTCGCTTGGAACCCTGAGTGAAGGAGAGTAGGGAGTCAGAGAAGAATAAGACAGCATGGTCCCGAGGGGAAGTTGGGCTGATGGAACAGTTTTCCAGTCATCCTCTTATTCCACACGCCTGTCTTATAAACTCAACTATTTGCCCCTTCAGTTAAAATTCTGTAATACTACAACTGATTAGACCATATGGAGGGCCTACTAATCACATTTCATCCTCACAGACACGCAGTAAGGATGATACTCTTATCCCCATTTACAGATGGGGAAACCGAGGTGAGGAGAGGTGAAGTAACATGCCCACAATGGGTAGAAAGTAACAGTTTTGGGGAGATGATTCTGGCAGCCTGGGCCTATCAGAGTGGTGAGGTGGGCTCAGTGATCAGCAGGCCTGAGGCAGGAAGCTGACCATGGGCTTTGGGAGGTGAAGGGGAGAAGTCGACTCCCAGCTGCCTGTCTAGCTGACCACAGAGGAGCGGGTGTGGGGAACTGCTCAGGAGCTCAGTGTGGCCTCCTTGAATGGACATGTCCCGCCCCCCTGACCCGCATGAGGAGACACCCTATCACTCACCCAGGTGACTGTGCCCATGACAGGCTCTTCATCATTTGTGACCTTTGGTCTCCTGGTTGCTTTCCTCCTGTGGGGACAACAAAGGCATCCAGGCCCTGAGGCCAGACTCGGAGACCCTCCTGACATGCAGGTGAGGGTCCCGTCCCCCTGGATGCCCAGGGGTTTGGCCAAGACTGAATGTGCATCACCGAGGCCCCTCTCACACGCAGAGACTTGTGCACGAGCCATCATCAGAGTGATTCATGGCAGCCAAAACATCCAAGCAACCCAAATGTTCAATGAATGAACAGACAAATAAAATGTGCCCCATCCATATCATGGAATATATTTGTAAATAAAAGCAATGCAGTGCTGACACATGAACCTTGGAAATCTCAGGCTACATGAAAGAAGTCAGTCATAAAAAACATGTATTTTATAATTGCATTTATATGGAAGATCAGAATGGGCAAATCTGGAGAAACAAGAAATAGTGGTTGCGTGGGGCTGGGGGAGGATGGAGGCGGATGACAATGAATGGATGTGGAGTTTCTATTTTATTTTATTTTGTTAATCCTCACATGAGTATATTTTTTCCATTGATTTTTTGAGAAAATAGAAGTGAGGGAGGGATGGGAGGGGGTGGAAAAGAGAAATAGAAAGAAACATTGATGTGAGAGAGACATATGAATTGGTTGCCTCCTGCACGTGCCCCAACCACGGCCAGGGACCAAACCTGCAACCCAGGTTCTGCCCTTGATCAGAAATCAACCCAGGATCCTTCGGTCACAGTTTGACTCTTAACCACTGAGCAATGCCTGCCGGGGCTGGCGTTTCTACGTTTTCATTTTGGGCCAATGAAAAAAAATTCTTTAAATTGATTGTGGTGTTGGGTGTACAGCTCTGTGACTGAACTAGGGTCACTGAACTGTGCACTTTAAATACATGGAAATGTCACCGTGAAAAAGCGGCCGCTCCCTCTCCCCACAGAAATGTCCCCTCTGGATGTACTAAGCTCTGTTTTTGTGAAATTCAGCGACATCTCAGGGCGCTCCCTACCACACAGTTCCCTGCGCCTCCCTGCTCCAGAGGCTCACCTGCAAAAGGAGAGGAGACACAAACACAGGGACAGCAGGGCCAGGGCTCCAGCACCTCCGAGAGCCGCAGGGACCACTCCCGCCTGGACCGCCGCCTTCCCTGCAGAGAACAGGGGCGTGAGACACCCACTCGCGGGACTCGGTCTCTCCTCTTTCCCACCTCCTCCCAGAACCCGCTGTCGGTTCAGTTCAGGCAGGAGATGCAGGGCCCTGTCCTAGCAATCCCCCCTGTCCAGGCCACAGCCCCCTCCCCCAGCCCCACCCTCTCTCTGACCCACTCCTTTCTCAGTGGCCTCTGCCCCCAGCATGCCCTGACCTGGCAGCAGCAGGACAGAGGCGCTCTGGGCCCCGTGCACATTCCGGGCCTCGCAGCTGAGTCTGAGGTCACGGCTGAGCCCCTCATGGAGGACCAGGGAGCTGTTGGTCCAGGGCCCCTCTGAGCTGGAGGTGACCACGTGGGAGGCGTTGCCATGGTTCCCCTCCAGCAGCCCCGCCCCCAGCCGCCAGCGCAGGGAGGGGGCCGGCTGGGCCCTGGAGGAGCAGCTGCAGTGCAGACCCTGGTCCTCCCAGGAGCAGGAGGGTCCCAGCAGCTGCGGGGGGTCTGTGGGGAGCGAGGAGAAGGGTCAGCGGTGCCTCCAATCTCCCCAGAACCCAGCTGTCCTGCCCCCTGGGGTCTCCCCACTCACAGGCCACGGAGAGGCTGAGGGAGACACTGTGGGAGCCCAGCGGGTGCCGAGCTTGGCAGGTGAACTCTCCTTCCTGTGCAGGCCCCACGCGAGGCAGCTCCAGGATCGCGGTGCTGGAGAGGGGGGTGGCGTTCAGGCCTGGGGACCCCCGGAACCAGCTCAGCTCGGCAGGGGGGTTGCTGTCAGCCACACAGCGCAGCCTCAGGGCCTCTTCCTCCAGGATGGAAAGGGAAGTGGCCTGCAGAATCTTGAGGTCTTTGGGTAGAGAAATGAAGACAAGGGGAGGGAGAGGAGGAGGGGGAGGGGGAGGGGGAACTCAGGTACAGGCACCCGCCAACAGGATGTAAGCGAGGAAGCATGATAATTTTAGTCCTTGCCCTTCCCCAGTCTGATCCCATTCACACTCAGATTCCCCCCTCTGCTCCACTATGGTCCGGAGGGGCAGGTCCCAGTCCAGAGAGGCGAGGTTCTTTCCTATCTGTGACATTTCTTTTAAAAAATATGTTTTTATTGATTTTTAGAGAGAGAGAAAGAGAGGAAGGGAGAGGGGTAGAGGGATGGAAAGATGGATGAGAAACGTTATCAATAGGCTGCCTCCTGCACACCCCTGACTGGGGATAGAGCCCGCCACCCAGGCATGTGCCCTGACTGAGATTCTAACCTGTGACCTCTTGGTTCCTGGGTTGAAGCTCAACTTCTGAGCCACACTGGCCAGGCCTAGCTGTGGCATTTCTGAAGGTGATGCCTACGGTGAGATTCTGTGGGGCATCTGGGATAGAAAAATATGGCCCCAGTTCAGAGGGGAGGAGTGGGATGGAGGACACCCCTAACGCCAAGGAGGGAACTGGGAAGGGGGGAGGGCTGTCCTTCTGACCCCCTCCCCACCTACAGGCAGATCCATGTCTGGGTGTTCTCAGGTTAGCTCAGCCTCCTGCACACACACACACACACACACACACACACACACACACTCGCCAGTGCCATTACCAACACAGACCCAGCCTCCCTTCCAACACTCACAGGAGACATTGAGCCAGATGGTTCTCTGTGTGGTCCACTGGGACCCTTCCCGTTTCACCTGACAGGTGAGGTTGGTGCCATGGTCCCCGGGCCTCGGGGTGAAGGTGAGCACTGTGGAGCTGAGGTTCTGGGGGTCCAGTGAGTCCACAGCGACTCCCTCCCAGGAGAAGGTGAGAGATCGTCCCCCTTTGCAGGCCCCTGACAGGCTGCAGGCCAGCTGTGTGGGGCGGCCGGACTCTAGGGGCTCCCGTACACGGATGTGGGGTCTCTCTGTCAGGGCTGCGGGGGAGAAAGGCAGGTGCCTGGGCTCCAGGGGTGGGGACTCAGAGTGGGACCCTGAGAGAGGCCCTGCCTTGGGCTGAGCTCACCCAGGCCCTGTGTCCCTTCCGACCATCCAGGGCCCAAGGCCTGGACAGGGAGTGACCCAGTGTCCTGTCTTGTTCCAAGAACAAGTTCCACATCTCAGACTTCTCTCCGGGGCCCTGCCTTACCTGTCACCTGCAAATTCAGCATCTTCTCTTTGTAAGTATATTTCATACTTTCTCTCTCCATTCGGAAGATGTATATTTTTGCGTCACTCCTCCTGGCATCTCTGATGTGCAGGGAACAGTTGTTGTTCCTGGTGTCTGGGAGGAGGAAACGGCCTTTTGTCTCTTCCTTTGCTGGTTTATTTGGGTCGTTTGATGCCACAGGCTTACTGTACTGCATGTTGTCTTCTTTCCAGTACCAATAGGTGTAGAATTTGCTAGAGGAAGACCATGAACTCCAGGGGTAGGAGAAGGAGCAGGGCACGTGGATGCACAGACCCTCCTGCACCGTCATGGATTCCTGCACTTGGAGCTCAAAGCCTGACTGCTGCTGCAGCGACCCTGAGAGAGGGAGACAGAGGCTCAGATGCAGCCCCATCCCTCTCCCACTTCCTCATCCCCCGTCCCTTGGCCCACTCACCCCCCCACAGCAGGGGCAGCAGCAACAGGGGCACCATGTCTGCCTCTCTCATCATAGAGTAGGTCCAGGTCCCTGTGTCAGGGAGGGAAATGTCAGCTCTGGGGTGGAGCTGAGGATTCCCCAACAGGAAGCCCAGGGGGAGAGACTGTGGATAGTCCTGGAAGGGGAACTTGGCCTCCATAGTAGTTGGGGGGTGTGGTGGCTGAGAAATTTTCCTACCTCCCCTCCCCGCTCCTGAGCCTGCAGGTAAATATACTGAGGCCCCAGAGGTTCAGAGGCATGTCCAGATGTGAATCTGAAAGTGACCCCCTTACAGATGAGGTGTAAGTCGAGAAGGTGGTCCCCCAGGGGGCCACCGTGGTCATCACTGGTCCTGGAGACTCAGGGGATCCACCCTCCAGCTGAAACCATTGTGTAAAAGGGTAATTTTAAAATTTCTTCACATCACTCAAATGCCGGAAAGAAGGAATTTAGACTCAACTCTCATGGAGGGTGGAACCCAGGGGAAAAGCTGACGCCTTTCGGGGCACATGGGAAGCACAAATGTGGGTCTCCCAGGGTCTGAGGGACAGCGACAGCGCACAGGCCCCGTCAGAACGGGATGTGTGAAGGCAGATCGCACCCCTTCAGGGGGAGCCTCAGAGGTTGGACCTCCACACGACAGCAAATTTGCCACCTTACAGCTCAGGAAGCTCCACCTTCAGGGCCCCTCACCTGCTCAGTCCCTTTTCAAAGCCCAGCAGGGGCTCGAGTGATGTGTGGACATAACCTGCAATCCTACTGCTCTTTTATGAAAAAAAGAAACTTGACCAATGTTTCCCCAAATATGACAATGATGTGAAACACTTCAGACATTCCCAGTGACAAGTTGTGCAATTGAAATAAGTTCCTCAAACTGTACAGAAGAAAAAAAATTTCTCTCAACCACGCTGAGGACACACAGAAATCTCTTTCTATTCTCTATGCTATATACATATACTATTATAACAATTAATAATGTTTCTTAGTGTGATATTAACACATATTAGTATATGACAGGATTATTGTCCTATAAAGAGTCCATCAAATGTATGTCAAAAAATGTGGGGAGAGTGTTATGCAGGTGTTGTAGAAAGGTATGCCATAATACTAATAAAAAAGGTCTGTAATTTTTCAGAATTGTCTTATTTTTGGTTCTCAGAATTGTAGCTTTTATGACATGATGTGTGTTCTCATTTCAGAAAAATTCATGTGTGCCGCCACATTGTGTATTAGTTTTGAAATAGTGATCTCAACATTTGTACAAATATCAAGCCCCACAAAACCAGGTCTTTCCCTGCCTCAGGTGCAGACAAAAAAGAGGTAACCAGCTCCACCCACCCGTGTATTACAATGACCACCCACCGAGACTCCTCACGGATTACAATGAAGATTGTCCAGTGCAAACAGCGGACTAAAGAAAGCACGATTTCCATGGCTGTGCCCACAATTCCTATCACTGAACCATGTAGCAAATCTCAAGCTGGGATACAAAAAAGACAAGAAGTAAGTGTTGGCAAGAATGTTCAGAAAGAGAACCCCCTTGCACTGTGGGAATGTAAATTGGGGCAGCCACTGTGTACTAGTACATCAGTATGGCAGTTCCTCAAAAATTATAAATAGAGCTGCCACAGGACCCAGCAACACCCCTTCTGGGTAATTGTTTGGGAGAAATGAATACACGAACTTGAAGAGATGCATGTCCGCCCATGTTCACTTTGGCATCTTCTGCAATAGCCAAGATGCGGAAGCATCTTCAGTGCCCATCTATAAATGAGTGGGTGAAGAAATGGTACATGTACAATGGAATATTATTCTGTCATAAAAAAGGAAAACCTGTCATTTGCAACAACATGGATGACCATGAAGGCATTATAAGTGAAGTAAATCAGACAGAGAAAGACAAATACCGTATGATCTCACTTAGGTGTGGAAAGTTTGAAAAAATCAAACTCATAGATACAGAGAATACTCTGATGGCTGCCAGAGGCAGAGGGGGTTGGGGTAGGAAAAGGTCAACATTTTTAGTTATAAGATAATTAATTCATGAGGACATAGTATGTGGGGAGCTGAAATAGGGTTAAGCCTCGGACTGACCTGTTGGCAAAGTCACAAACAGGTCTTCCGAGTCTTAAACAACCCAATCTGAGAGGTGGCTGCTGATTTACATGCACTGTCATTTAAAAAATAAAAAAGGGGGAATTTGATGGAAGCCGGTACATCCTTGCTGCTTGACACAGTCGCTGCAGGGAAGAAACATCTGCACAGCATATGTTTCAAGGGACCTGGGTATATGGCATACTGTTCTTAATATGTTTGCTCCCCTTCTTAGTGCTATGTGTTTTAACCAAGGTCACCTCTCCGAGAAAGGTGGTTTCCCCAGGTGGGTATTTTTCCCTATTGTTAGGGATTAACAGGACTAAGGAAGGGAATCAGTTAAACCCCTTAACTAAGTGCCAGGCGGGTAATTAATCACTTTAACTATGAACAATCACACTTAAGCTACATAATCTTTACTTAGGATAATCTCCTTCAGTTACTTCCTTGTAGCTTAACAGAACAATAGAGTAGTGACCTTGGAATGGAGATAACAAATGCCCTAACCTTTGGAATAGAATGGATAGGATTAAAATCAACTGGTATAAATACAGATGTAACAGGAAAATAAAGGCTGAACCTGGCTAGAACCTGGTTAGAGAACCTGGCTAGGCTGCTGATCAACTGAACGCTTTCTCCATGTCATTCCTTCTTCACCGACTCCGTCCACACCTTTGGGAATCCCTGGACCTGCTGGGGCTGGACCCCAACAATATTATGCAGCATGGTGACTGTAGCTAATAATAGTATGTGTTGATATTATGAACTATAGTAATATAGTTAATAATACTGTGTTGAATATCTGAAAATTGCTAAGAGAAAAATTGTTACAAGTTCTCATCATAAGTTTTCCCATAAGGGGAAAAAAATGTGTAACACTATGTGGTGGTGGAAATTAACAAGAATTTTAACAGCTTGTGGTGGGCCATTCACAATTTGGAACTAGCAAAAAGTTATAGGTCAATTATATCTCAATTATCTTATATAATAAATGTCCAGCGACTGAACAGTGGAATGACCAGAATGACTGTGGATCCTTGCCCTGGCTGACCCAGCCCCTCAGTGGTTCCCCCAGAACTGATCTGGGGGTGGAGCCAGCTGGAAAATGGCCTGCAGCTCCTCACCTTGGCTGGCCCCACCACCAGTCGGCCCCCATCAGGGCTGGCCAGATGGCCCCCACCAGTGCACGAATTCGTGCACCGGACCTCTAGTATACCTATAAACTCAGGCTGGGTACTTTGATTAGAGTTAGGACATCCAAACTGTGTTCCCTTTCTGCTCCATTTGTGTTCCAACACGGGCACAACAAATTCCTTACATTAAATTCCCGCTGCTGAAATACATAGTGGTGCTTCTGTAGTTTCTCGCTGGCCCTTGACTGATTAAATCTCAACAAGTAAAACAATGAGGACTGGGTGATTTCAAATGCCTTCATGATAAAACTCACAGTCCACTACACAGAATTTCTCTAACGAGACAGAGGGTGTCTCCAGCAAATACCACACCTAATGCAGTAGTAGCATTGGGTCATAGAAAGGCAATAAGAATAAAGCTTTGAAAATTGAAAACAAAGTGTTTTTTTTCATAAATGATTTCATATATAGAAAAATCCCCAAGTATATAATGGATATATTTGGGAAGTTAATAAGAGAGTTAGCAAGGTTGCTAGAGACAAAATCAAATTAGAAAAAAATCAAATGCATGCCTATGTCACAGCAGTAAACAAAAATTAGGATGTTGTAAAAGATGCCATTGACAATAGTATGGACAATTATTAGATACCTGGAATATATCTATTCAGGCATGGACTCTGTCATCAACGTATTTAAGAAAATAGATGCTAAAATAGGGACTGTCATGTGTCAAAATGTAACACAAAAAAAGAACCAGGCAGAATGGAATGACTAACCCTCCTGCTGTGAACAGCTATCAAACCAGATACAACATGGTTGACAATTGTCTCCGCCTTGCTCCAGGTGTAGCTCTTCCTCCCAATCGCCTTCCGTGATGACCAACACCAAGCCCCCCACCAGCCACCGGCTGTGTGCCCACCGAGGCAACAGCTTCCCCCAGGACTTTCTGTGAGCTTCCCCTTTCGACTCCCACGTTGGGGGCTGGACATCTTGGCTTTTCACATTTTCACAAATAAAATGCTGGCTTCAGCACATCCGAAGGCACTGTCATCAAGTGACTCATGCGTTTCTCTGTTCCTCAATTTCCCATTGTGTACAGCAGAGACCATGCATCCTACTCAGAGCTGGTCGTGAGCGTTGAAGAAGTTTTACACACGCAAATGAACCAAGAGACATCACGTGGCGAGTGCCCAGGGCTGGCTGGTCTCCCTTTTTATTTTTAAACAGGAAGGTCCTGCTGGCAAGTTCTCCTGAAGCCGGAAGTGAGCCGGCCCAGTGGAGAGGGGGACGCTTGTTGGTGTCATTTTCCATCCCAGACTCTTCAAAGCCTCCGCAGGGAAAGACCAGCATCCCGACCTGGCATTCGGCTCATGATGAGGCATCTTGTCGTCTCTCCGCGGTCATCTCGCCTCACTTTACCTGTTCATTCTCCCAGCACCTCCTGCCCGTCAGCCCTTCTCTGTCCCACTGAAGGGCCCCACAGGAATCTTTCCAACAGCCCGTGCGCCGTAACCAGAGCTGACCAGGTATTTCATCACCAAAAAGGACTTATTCGGGTCAGAAGAAAAGGTTGCAACGCCCTCCACACAGTTATGGGGAGCCATGTGCACGCATTGCTGGGAAGCAGCAGGAAGGAATCCCGTTTTACCGAAGGGGAAGCGGAAGTTAAGGGGCGGGGCTGAAAGGACCATAGAGCTCTGCTGTAACCATAGAGTGTTTCCTGTAGGGCTCTCAGCGCTGCAGGGGGTGCGAGAGCGCCTCCCACAGGTCCTCCCGATTCCTGTCTGGGTGGCCCATTAGGACAAGCCAGAGAGCTGACCCTGACTGTCTCCTACACACACCCCTTCCCGACTCCCGGGCTTTAGACAATACATCACAGGCACCTTTCCCTGGCATTGATCTACTCACTCACCCTTTCCTCGTGGCTTTTGTTCCTTCAATCTTCCATGAAAGTCTTTGCAATAGCAGATCACTCTCCTAGAGTGCATGCGTCCTTGCTTGCATCTGGCAAACACCATTCTGTCCTCCAAACGTGAGTTCTTGGAGGGACGTGGGTTGAGAGGGTGGACTGAAGAAAGAGCGCATACAACACAGCAGCCAAAAACTCAGTGCTACGGCACAGGCGCCTAAGAATAAGCTCTTTATCATAAGTGGGTGACACTAAGCTATGGGTCGCTCCCATGTCAAAGGCATCCATCTGGATGAAGACCAGGCTGTCCCACCCATGAAGTTCCCTTTTAGAAAGTCGTGGGTGACCTACATAACTGACTGCTTGCACTAGCCCGCTTTTCCTTCCTTGAACTTTAATTCCTGCTCTTCTGCTTTAAATTCACCAAGAAAGAACCTGCAAAATCCTGGGCACCCCACTCTCCTCCCCAATAGAGGCTGAACACTAGGTCCTCTCTGTTTCTCTACCTGTGACCCTGCTGAGTGGCCCTTGGTGTGTTGTGTGTCCTCCAGGACTTGTAAGTACAATTGTCCCCCTTCTTCACAGGAGATATGTCCCAAGACCCCCTGTGGATGTTT